CGCCTGCCGTGCCTGAGCCCCCGGGGCCCCGCTGCCCCACTGCCACCCGGCAGCGCCCGGCCCAAGGGTGGGGGGAGGCGGGGAAGGGATGCAAAAACTGCAAAATGCAGAAGTATCCCTCGTGCTGAGCCTCACTGTATCTCTACAAGAGACTTCAGCACCCGGAGGAGTGAAACGCTTTGAAAACCAGGCAAGCATACAGACCTGAAAATGCCATTGCATCCAGTGTTAAGGGATTGCCCGCCACATCGCTCTCAAAGGCAGCTAGCTATTTGTACAAGCGCCAGACATCAACAGGCAGCAGAGGAAAAGGGAGCAGTGATGCAGCTATTCTGCATCATGTGCAGCGGGAGCTGAGCAGCGAAAATGCCCGCTGGGTTCTCTTCTGGGACTTCCGCTTTTGCCAGCATTAAGCTTCTACATTCGACTACTTCTGTGTGAATCTCTGGAATTAGTATTTTAAACATGGCCAGAATTAGCTACCATTAAGATTTGGGCAAAAGCATCGTGCCTTTGGGGAGGTGTTCAGAAAACAGCCTCGTGCCTCTGCGCAGTGGCAATACAGAAGCACAATAACGGGTCTCTGCCTGGCCCTTCCTAGGGGCTGCAGCTGAACTCATGAGATCACCACACATTGGTTCAAAGGCAGATCAAATGCCAGACGAAAGCAGCTGTTTTGGGAAGCTGATCCACACCTCAGTGCACACACATACACATATACCCGTATATACACATCTGCACAAAGGTGAGGAGAGAGATTTAGGTAAGTAGGGGTAGCTTACTGCAAAGACAGCCTGTCATGGTGTATGGGGGAGGCTACCCCCTTCGTTACCTTGCACGAGAATTGCTAGGGAGAACAGATCTGTATATTACTGTAGTATTTGTACCCGTTGTGCATTCAGCTATCAGCACTACTGCGACTATAGATTGCAAGTGTAGACAGGACTTACTTTCAGAGGTAGTGACTGTTCACTTGCAGGGCAGAAAATGTTTTTTTTTTTCCCCCTAAGCCTTTCCTGTTAAATCTTGAGCAGCTGAGTTCTATTTTGAGTGTACCATGTTTAATTTATCACAGGCAAATACCTCTATAATTAACAGTATCCTTATGTCTTCTTGTGTGTATCACTATGAGATTTCTTTTTTTTTTCGGGGCAAATGGAACATGGCAGTCTCAATGTGCTTTACACTTTCTGGCATCTTACATATAACCCATTAGCAGTCTCCTGTAGGTCTTGCCAATGATGATAATTCCCAATTAAACTAATGTTCAGATAAAATCTAGGTGGTCTTACTCAGATAGGAATGAAGTAAATAGAATTTTATCTCTGATTCAGGATAGTGGGGTGTGTATCTTTGCAATGTTCTGAATGTATGTTAGTATTCCTACCACGTAGCTAGATGCCAAATGTTTCTCAGGAATAAATACTTTAGCAGGGAGAGGGAGGTATAGGGGAAGAATTAAACAGTCTGTGAAACCTGTATCACATTCTGAGGTTTTAGAGGTTATATGATAACAGCATTACTGGGCCTCCATTTAATCTGCTTGCAGCGTCACACCACATTAGGTTTCCCTTGGGACCTACTCCATTTCCATCCGCATGTTGCACCACTCTCCTCAGAAAGTGAACTAATGCATGCCCACTACCTGGCCATTTGTACGTCAGCTGAATTTTCTAAATCTGAATTACTAAACAGACTTGAGTTTTTTTAGTTTTTTGTTTTTCCCCTTCTCTTTGCAGTTTGTGCAAATATCATGAGGGTGTATCACTTTTTTTTTTTTTTCATGAACCACTAAACAGAGAAAAAAAAAGATTAAAGGCAGCTTAACAAATATGAAAAGACTGAAGAATTTAGCAAACTTAATTGACTTAGCCTTCTAATGCTTCTGGGGTACAGGTAAGAACTTCTGCAGCATGTGTGAATCAGCATAAATTTATGAAAGTCAATGGAGCCAAATCAGTGTACCTGAAAAGATGGCTCATTATCTTTGTTTTAGAAATGGAAGAAAAAGCATTGCAGAAATGTTAACCAGATTTGCACAGCGTCAGGTAATAGGTACCTTAGTACCTCAATACCTTTTCCTTTCGTATTAAGGAAAGCTTTTTTTTTTTTTAACTAATAGCACAAAAATTTAAAACATTGTGAAATTTTCACTAAGATAGAGATTTACATGTATTAGAAAGGAATTTAGAGCAATCACTTGAAATAAGCTATTTAGTCATTTCATTAAAATTTGTATTTTTTTTTATTAATAAAGGATGATGGAGGAAGATTTCCTTGGGTACCTGTTCTTTTCATGCAATTTAAAATAAGCTTTTATTGTTTTTTATGATCATTTGTAAAAATAGTATGTGAAATCACATGGTGCAATAGTATCTCTCACTGCAGTTTAGAGATGTAAAATGCTGTACATTTATTTCTACTGCATAGTTACAAAGAATAAAGATTATCATTTTTTTCTCTTTATTACTCTAATTTATGAAATCTCTAACAAGTTAATCCCATTAATTTGATTGTTACAGGCCATGCATTTCCCCCTGCCAGAATATTTGGAAGGGGTAAATTGTTCTTGCCAGCCCACAGCGGGCGTTCCATACTATTAAGTCTTTCCTTCCACACAAGTTAGTGTATTGCCATTTATGTACTTAAATACCATTAGTCAAAACCAAAGTTTCCAAGGCTACACACTTGAGGAAAAAAAAAAAAAGATTCTTGTTATTCAATGATTGAGGAACATGTAGAATTTAAGAAGGAGGAGGCAAAAGCAGAAATGTTTCATTTTTAATGACACATTTATTGGGAAGGTTTGAGGGAAAAATTGTTCTTGTGAAGGTTTAGCAGGGGGGAAAGGGTAGTGAGAGAAGAGAGGAAGAGACAGGAACATGTGAAAGGAGAGAGAAGTAGAGGGAGAGAGACTGATGCAGCGACATAAGTAACTGTTGGTCTGTCCTTCAAGCAGGCAAGTACTGACCTCAGCTGTGGGACCCTTAGCCTCAGGCTCTCATTCTAAGCCAAGTGACCAGAATCTTGAACTGTATTTCCTGTTTCTTTTTTGGTTTGTTTTCATTAAAAGAAAAAACAATGGACAGGGCTAAACACAAGTGCGTTATTGAAAGAATTTCCAATACTGAATTTTGGTATTTGGTCAACCTTAGTTTCAGGTCACAGCAAACGTAATCCAGGTCCCCACCTGATTTTCTCAAGGCTTTCAAGATATCCAGTTGAGAGGAGATATATATACATATATATATGTGTGTGTGTGTGTGTATATATTATATTTTAGTTAAGCGGGTCGCTTAGCTTTACTAGCAGTTAAACTGCTATATTTTTATTTTTATTACAGCTTACATAAGGGATATGCAGAATTTTAGATAGACATCCTATTTTATTACTGTTTAAATCCCAACAATTTATTTTTTTATTTTTTTACATTTGTCAGTTCTGAAGAATTTACATCTGTTAGTTTTACTGACACGCTGCAAACACCTTCCTTCTGTCCCAGAAAATTTCTGCTCAGAGTTTTGGAGTGATTTACGTTTATTATTCTGCCATCAGAAGG